TTGAACAAGGATTTTGTGTTCGAGAGAATCGATAATCCATAAATTAAAATATTAATGATTAAATTATAAATTATATTTCTTTGCGGATATAAAATGAACGAAAATTTCAATTTTTTTTATCAGCGAGATCATCATCATATTTTTTGAACTAAATTAAAAACTGAAAAGTCTGGGCTGAAACGACGTAGATAAAAAACGGCACTTTTTTCCCCCGTCGAAATATATCTCGCAAGCGTGATACTCGGTTCGCATGACACGGCCTACATATTTCCGATATTACTTAGCTATAATCTCTCGCGGCGAAAGAGACGCGGCTTAAATCGATCGCGCATATCTCTCGTGTTCCGCTCTCGAGATTGAGATCGTCGCGCGGTGAAAAGTCCTCGCGCGGAAAAGGCACCCTCTCTTTATTCGTATTGCATCTGCGAACATGCGAAATTGAAGAGGGCAGTAATTCATTTCCTTACTACGTTGTCGAGAAATCAGGCTGTAAGTCTTCCCGTCTTCCTTCCTTCTTTTTTTTTTTTCTTTTTATTCTTTTTATTTGATCGATGGTAATCGCGAGAGAAAGAAATGAAATCCGGACTAGGCACATTTTTCAAATCTCACTTCTGCAAACTCTCTCCCCTGTAGCCTTTATCAATTTCTCGTCTTTCGTATAATCTTTATCCATACATCTTTTTATCATTTATAGATAAAAATGAATAAGTAGGGTAGTGTATGAATCAAGTGAAGAAAATTTATTCATTCTTTATTGCTTAGCTGGATTTTATTATAGCTATTATTTAACGTTGAAAATAGATGGTTTAATCATCTCTTATATAAGTTCGCGAAAATTACTGAAAAGAATCATTTCCAATATTTTACGATGAGAAATATTGTAAAAGCGATACCGCGATTGTGTGCTCGGTTTTAAACGAAGGAATTAATAGAAGATTTAAAAACGTAATTTAAAAACGGGTAATGTAATAGCGTTTACTAGCTTTTAAAAAAACGACTGTAGCGATATAAAAACTTTGCCAATTACTGTTACAGCGGGAAACGATACTCGCGGGAATGCACCCGTTAAAATCTCACGATAATCCTCTGCGAACATAACGTTTCCATCGCTATTTTTTATATTTATGTGGATTGTTTGGCTGGTTTGTTGTGGATTTTTTCGGAATGAAAATATCGACACTTTTTAATTTAGAAATTATTACAGATAAAAGTTTTTATTTTTCAAACACGTGTATAAATACAATAGATAAGAAAGTTTGATGTTTTATTTAATATTAAGTGAGCTTTACCTTTGCAAAGTTTTAATATTTAGAATTGTATTATCGATATATTTAAATATGAATGTTTTTATACGTGCTAATTATAAAATAATAATTATAATAAAAAGATATAATTCTCCAATCTATAAAAAATATTCTAATCTATAAAAAAATAATTATAGCGAAATATGACAGTAACACCTATGGCATGAATACGATGCGCTTTGTAATATTACGGTTGACAGATTCCTCCTAAAGTCGGTTCGCGAAGGAATCGATTTTCGTTGACGCCGAGATCAAATCTCCCGTTATCCTACGTGACTGTTAGACACGAGGATAATCCAGGACTTACCCGTGCATGAAAGACGTCGAACGTCGAGCTTTCGACGCGCTCTTTCCAACCTTCTGTCTTTTTCTTTTCCACCGCTGTGTGCGAAATGGCTGTGAATAATTTAAGTCTCTCTAAAGGACTTTTTGCTCACCGTACGATGTTCTTTTAATTCTGTCTGAAATACTTTGTTCGATCAATTGAAACTGTCAGCAGCCAGAGATTAGCCAGAGTCTATCTCGATTTTAACAGATGCACGAGCTCTCTTCGAAAATGGAAAAAGAGAGTATGCTTTTGCAGTGAAGGTGCAGATTGAATATTGATTACGAAATTACAGAAAATATGGAATATTAGTATTTTGTTTTAATCAATACTTTTGATATGTAGATTTTTAAAATAATTTAAATTTAATATAATTGTAATGTAAATTTAATTAAATTTAACTAAATTGAATTGAGATACTTTCGATTATCAAAAGAATTCTGGATAATAATTTTCCGATTAATCTATTTATCTTGAATTTAAAATTTTAACAATTTTAACGAGAGGAGATGTTTAAAATAAATAATTAAAGAGTTAAATAAATATGAGAAGATAAGATATTCGTTGAAAAAATATTTTATCTCTTATAGAAAGAAGAAAAGCAAATATCTTGCCGTATACACTCGCAAAAGAATCTTTTTGAGAAAGTGATATTTTGCAATGTATATGTCCCTTGTGTGTATGCTATTACATGTACGGCAGAATGCATGCTCGAGTTACACACCGTTATCACAGACATATCTCTGATGTAATCCGATATTGCTGACGGTTGGAAATTTTAGGTCTCTTTTCATTAACCTCATTAGCGCGAAGCCCGATATCCGCGAAAACATTATTTTCCCCCGCGAACTCTTAATCTAGCGAAAGAATCGGAATATTTCTTTTTTTGCCTGTCTGACTAAAAACGGGTTTTTTTCACTTTGCGGCGGCGACTGTAAGCGGAAAATCACGCCAATTCTCAACAAAGACATCTCGCAGCTTCTAGCAACAGTATCCGACAATCTCACAGCTGCAATCTACGGTGACTACCTCGTCGACGATGTTTCGTGCACAATAACACAATTCTCTCTGAATACGCGTGACGCGAATGTTATTTCATTACACGCGGAAATTCATTTCAGCGCATTGTGTCGCAAGAATGATTGCGGAATACCTCACGTCACGACTTGACAATATCATTGATTCGAATCAAATTAGACGATAACAATAGTCACAGTCGCATGCGTATAAAGCACGACGACTTATCGTTACAGTCGTATCCTTCACGGAACAAGGGATTGGTATGAGAGTTTATTGAATTCCGAGGCGAAAATTCGATCGAATAAGAATGCTGCCTCACAATACGGAGGAATAACTTGAAACTTTACGTAGGTGAGTTTAGTGTGCCCGCAAACGTGCGTATTTTCGTGTTATAACGAAATTCCCGAAGAGAGTTCTCGTGTATCGAGACCGAAAGCGAAGATAAACCGAGTTATATTACTTCGCTGCGGTATGTTTATTTGTATATGCAATATTCGCTCCGCATGGAAAATAATAATATCGTAACACGATATTGTTCGCGATCTTATCGGAGTATGCAAAGAATTAAATTTTAACTAAATATTCCATATAGAGGAATTTTTTTTCATCAAAGGATTGAGATTGAAATCTTCGAATAAAATAATAATCGGTAAATTCGTTGAAAAATTGCATGCGAAAGAGAAATAATTTCGATGTAAAGTGATCTTTAATTAAGATTCTCATTTCGCTTGATTCTTATCGGTATTGTATCGTATTAACTGAATTGTTCGAAATTTTATTTACCGGTGCACGTTCGTATGAAAATGGATGGTTTAATGATGCGCGAGAATCGCACGTAAAGGTGGATCGCGTTGGAAAACGTATGTTCAATAATGTAAAATTTGTCCTCCAACGTGAACTATTCGCTCGCTCGATGCAATTTTGCTCTCGCAGACCGGCCCTTTGTATCCCAGCATGAACCGCGAATTTCAGAAAGGCACCTTTCGCGCGCACCCTCCAATTTATTTCCGCTTCCGTTTCGATGCGCAAGCACGTTCCCCCTTTTTCTCCCCCTTTGCTTCCCTCGCGCGATTGTTGCGACGAGTTGCATCGACGAGAGGAGTATCGTATGTGCAACTGTGAGTATCGGTTACGGGAGACAGAAAGCCGGCTTCTCTTTTAGCGTCACGTTACACAATGCAACAAATCGCCCACGTAATTTATTTGTCAAAGGCAGACATTGGATGCATACACATTTACTGAAAAAGCTTTAGTTCATTAAGTTGTAAGAGAGAATAGGGATATCATATCTATTGCATACGATCCTTTTATTCTGGAATATCTTACAGCGTCAGAAAAAAAATTTAAGCTCTTTTACATTTTCCTACAAACAAAACCAAGAGATCACATCTTGATATTTCAAATTTTCTTATACTTTATTTAAATATATTTAGTAATTAATAAGAGTTATATTTTTAAATATTTTAATTAATTAAATTGATTCTTGTATATATGTTTACTCAAGTGAGAATTATATTTTGATCTGAGTTAATGATTGCAATTATCGAGCCTTTGTATCGATTGCAATAACACGTCGGCTATTATTTCATATTACAACGATATTAAATTGATTATGCATTTATCGATGGAGGTTTATTGTTCCGAATTTCACGGTACACAGCTGTTGCGGCGAATTATTTCGGTCGCGAAGGTACAACGAAGGATTTAAGGGCTTTCATACGTCATTACTACATTGCAATATTAATTCCATGCTATTCAATCGATATATACGAGAGTTATTGCATAAATTGTCGAATCAACAACACGCTCGCTAGCGGCGATTGATCGATTATTTCGTGATATTACACGAGGTATATCGGTCGGAATTGTGGATTTTTCAACGTGAATAATTCGCCGGCTATGCATCCATTCGCGATCCGCAGGTTTAGGCTACTATCGCGAATTACTCGTATTTGCCGTTCATGGATCAAATTCACGGTGACGTTTATCCCCGTTAGAAAATACCGTCCAATGGTTTCATTCGCGAGCACGAAATTCATAGTCCATCATAATCCATAAATTGAACGAGGAATATTTCTCCCTATTAAGACTAATAATATATTTTAAAAATCCTTTTCATTCTTTTGCAACGTAATATTATTTATTTTCTTATAATTTTCGCTCGAGACAAAAAAAAATTTGTCGAAAAAAATTTTTTTAAGCTTTTTCTTTTTTATTTTATAAACTTTAAATTATATTGTTTTTAAATTGTGATTTAATTCTTTATTTCGCGGTTGCATTTCAAAGCTGATTTTTATTTTCTCAAGATTGCGGGACAGATTTTTGAACGCCGTGTGTTTCTCAATTTTCAGGACTCTGAGCTCTGCATCTCGCTCGGTCTGAGTTTGCAGTATCTGCGGGTATCGGTTGTCTGCTGGCTGGCGTCAATGTGCCACCATCTGTACGCCACCGTAGCATCTTTACCGCGTCGTGATGATCCGCCGACATACCTCAAATACAGCCTCTTTGCCTGGGGCGCGCCGTTGATCAGCCTTGTGTTGGCGACTCTCCTGCAAAGCCGCGAAAGCAACGATCTCTGGAATGTCGTTGATCTCACCCCCTTCAATTGCTGGTAAGACTTTGATAGCCATTAATAGGTAGATGTTAATTGACGTTTCCGAGAATTTTAAATCAATTATATGAATTACTTTATATAATACAAGAAAAAAAAAAATGATTAAATATAAAAATACCCATTTATGATTACAATATAATTGAATAATTGTTTTTATAATTCTTATAAATAAATAATCGATTTTTTTATGATTAATCGAAATAATTAATTTTTAACGTTAAATGTTCAGTATTTTGCGTCAATTTCTATTGGCTCGAACTATCAGCTTGAACTTCCTCGTTATCTCTCCGTTCTCGTCTCTCGTTTCCGCGTCTGCATTTATCCACCGGCTTCAAACTTCTTCTCGACACAGCTCATTTGCTCCTTTTCTGCTATCGAAGCCGGAAAGGCGGAATCCTTTATATCATTCTTACGTTTTATTCCTACGCTCGCATCTTACATATATCAAACAAGGTTTCAAGATTTCCATTCTAAAGTCTCTATTCTTAGTTTTATTAAAAAATTGCGTAATTTAAATTGATATAGCAATATCTCCTCTCAGAAAATACAATTTAAAGTATGCGGAAAATTATATTTTTATTAAAATTAATAAAATCTCTTATCATAACACATTCCATTTTATTTTATAAAATATTTTTTGTTTTTTACAGAAATACTATATATATACATTACATTTCAACTATATATTATTTTAACTGTAATTTTTATTTATTTTTATTGACTTGATAAAATCAACAAAAACCTGTTACTAATAGATCGAGATATTAACTCGATTCAGGGCAAACGTTAAGTTGTGTCGATGATCCATTCCATCTATCTCCTCGGTCGAGAGAAAATCCTTCACTCTCCATTTCGGAAAGTTACGGTTACTGCACCGAGAAAATTACCAGCATTTGCGTCTCTCTTTGCGAGAGAGAGGCGTGAGTTAACGGAATGATGCAATTCTGTTCCTAATACGCGCATTCCGCCGTCGTGCTCGTGTTACGTTGCCGCTTTGCTCGCCAGGGGTTGGTTGCCGGCGAGGGATGCAGAGGGGACGACACGGTAGCGGGGTAACGTTGATAGGGCTCGGTTTCCCCCAAACGGCGAGGAATCTTCCGCCGGAAGTGAGCGCGAACTCCCTTTTCCATGCTCGGATTCTTCGGTCGGACGGGATATCGGAAAGGAGCGGAAACGTTCTCTGCTTTGCCGGAAACCTCCGAAAGGAATGTCGTGTATATACAGTGTAGTTTATTTATTTATTTTTTTCCGATTCCTCCGCCCACACTGTGTTTTCTTTGTCTGTCTCTCTCTCTCTCTTTTTCATTTTTACCCATCTCTATCTCACGATATACTACTGAACCACCAATTTTCGTTAAATCAGATTCGTCGACGACGGTGAACCGGAATACCGTACCGGAACGAGATTCTTGCCATTTTTCAAAAGAGAGGTATTCGATAAGAGCATGTATCATGTATCATTGTGCGATACTTTTCGCGATATTTTTCTTTGTCATCCTATGATAAGATTTAAATTTATTAATTACTTTACGATATTAATATATAATATAAATATTATATCAAATTGTATATCAAATATATGTTTTCTTAACTATAATTTTTTACTACAAATTTAACATTTCCTTTTCTTTGTTAAAAATACTTGAAAGGACTTTATTTGTTTTCATAAATATGCAGACTATAAAAATTAATTTTATTTTATAAATATAAGGATATTANNNGAGATTAAAGCTTAGATTAAATTTATTTAAAGTTTAATTGAAATCTTCTCAAAATATTAACCGTTGATAATCTATATCACATATCACAGAATATTTATTACACTATGCATATTTGAATTATCATGAGAGCAATTTTCTTCTACTTAAACTTATTTGCGTAGACATTCAATTTCCAAGAATTATTCACGTATCTTCCCTCTCTTTTGATGTCATATTAAAAGATCGTTGACGTAGATATTAAGGATTTAATCTGGATTTTAAACTGTTCACGGTTTTTAGAAGGAAGCGAGTTTAGTAATAGCAACGAGAAAGACCATTAATAATATTTGTATAATAATTTCTTAATTTTATGTGTACGTGTGTGTCATATGCGCAAGAAAAGATAAAATCTTAAAGAATAAAAAAGAAATAAATAGAAAATTGAAATATGTATTTCATGAAATGAATCGATACACTAGAAAATATCAGAATTTCAATACGACTTTACGTTATACAATTTCGAATTTATTTAAAAGTTGAATTTGTTAGAAATCTGTTCTCAAATTTCAACCTTAGAATTATTCTGTTCTATCTATTTCCTATATCATTATTTAATATATAATTCTATACATTATTTTATTATTATCAATTACATATATATTTTTGCAATCTTATCGAGATCGTGTATTCTTCGCTATGATTACAATCCCGAAAAGTTCTCGACAGACGCGGGATTTTCTTTTGTCGAGCTTCCTCCGCCTCTGGTTGAGAATATATGCGAGATGCAATCGAGGGAAATAAACGGCAGGGAATATTTCTTGTGTGAGCGTGTATTAAAATCGCTCTGCCGACATGTGTGCAAAGTAGGCGAGCACCGAAAATGGGTATTTGATATCGCCCGAGTGTTCCCCGATAAAATCGCGCGTTTTGTAGACACTCGCCCTTCGATCCAAACTGCTCTCGTCGAAAAGAGCAACGGGATTTTAGCTATTCCCCGCGCGTATTTGCGATTTATAGAGAGCGAGGGAGAGAAAGAGAGAGGCGAGACCGGCAGCTAATAAATATTTCTGGCGCACTTCTTTTTCCTATTTCATGAGAATTGCACATCGAATTGAATTTTCATTACGATGAACGATATTTTCTCGTCACGTGATATTTTCCAATCATTTTATGTCGTGGATATTTGCTTGATATATCCGTTATAAAAATTTCTACTACACATATTTTAATAAGCAGATCTAAAATCAATTTGGTAAATGTTCAGATTAACTTACACCTCACGGATTGTTTTCATTTTTACATATATTGTAGAGGATACGTTTTTAAGTAATACACACTTTGAATTTTGTGGCGCTCTTTTCTGGTTCCAGAGATACGCGATTTTGAAGTTTCACAGTTTTAATGCTTTTTTTCAGGTATTATAAAGTAATATTAGGAAAAGTGAAATTTGTGTACATTGTATTTGTTGTTGTAGAGCAGACGAAAAAGTGTTTATTTACATTTACGGAATAGGTACACGGCCATGGATATTTTGTCAATAATGCGTTTCACCTATTTCTCGCAGTTCGTTAACAGCTTTTAACGTGCGACTACATGCGACCCAACTTTATTTTTAAAACTGAAAATAGGTTTGGGTTAGATTATATCTTGCGGAAGTGGAACCACCGTAGGGCGGGGTGGGGGGGCTTACTGTGTCCACGCATATACTTTACAACGCGAAGCGAGATCCACCCCACAATTATTGTGTGGATGAGAAAATGTATGCGTGAACGCAGTGGCTTCCACCCCCCTACAGGGGGCTGCACTTCTTCCGAAAATATAATCTAACCCAAACCAAGAAATTCTTAGCGAAACTAAACAGTAATCCGGAAGCTTACTGGCAGTGACGCAATAACGAGCAAATGTAAACAAAAAAATATAAACAGGTAAGTAGAACATAACGAAAAGATGATACAAGTAAATACGAAAATTATAATAATCAAAATCGCATATTTCTGAAACCAGAAGAGAGCGCCACAAGAAGCGTGTATTACTTAGGAATATACCCTCTACAATATATATAAAAGTGAAAACGATCCGTGAGGTGTAAGTTAATCCGAACATTTACCATCAATTTTAACACAAGATTTATCTACAAGAAGTAAAAATAAAATTTTTGAAAATGATATTTAAATCGACTTTTTTTTTGTACACATAACAAAAAATTTTATATTATATATTTTTTTGTTTAAAAATTTTTAATTATGTACAATATTTAATGCATATTACGTGCTTTATTAATTTCAGGTTTCTGGGAGCCACGGCGACGATTTATGCGTATGGCTTGCCGATCATCCTACTATTACTAACATCCGGTTATTACCTCGTCAAGGCTGCAATTGTGTCCAGGTATAGTTATCTTTCAATTAAAGCTCGATATTAATTTAATGATCCCGAATAGACTGCATAAATATAATGGAAAATTTTCTAACATCGTAACAAATCATCAATTCATTTAAGATACTAGATATGTTCTAATCACGCAGTTTTGCGAAAGTGCTTATTAAATATTTTCGATATTAATCGCGAACTCTTAAAAATAAGCTTCTAAAAAGTTCACATATGAAATTTTGAACAACTTTTCACATTTGGAGTGACTCGTAAATTTTCATCATAATTTTAAACTTTGCTTTTCCGAGTTATAGTACGAAAGTCTCTTGCGTATCTTACTTTCTCGGTAACGAATTACGTCATACGTCGCGTAAATCGCATACGTGCAGGTACACATGCAGTATGCAACTCGAGATAAAGCAGCGCGAGAAGATGAAGAGGAGGCGGGCGTTGCAGCTGATGCTCTTCCTGAAGGTCAGTCTGATCGTCGGTCTAGTCGCGGGCTGCGGGGTGGCGTCCAGGGTCTGGAAGATTCCCTTCCTGTGGGCGGTTTTCTGCACGGGTCATTCTCTTCAGGTACTCTTGGGGCAAAGATACCGCGGGGGTTGTAAAAAGTCCGCGCGCGCACGGATCATTTCGCTTCAAATACGTAGGAGAAATGATACTCGGTGTAACAAGAGTCTCGGAAGATATATCCAAGAGCGTCATTTCTTCCTGTCGTTTCCCTTCCCTAATGGCATACCTTACGACCGCGATATCTTCATCGTAGTTTCGATAGATATGAGGAATTATTAACTTTTCACGAATAACATTGCATCTTGTTGCGTTCGATCTATTTAGAATTTAAAAAATTTCCGTGTTATATATATGTGAAATATTATTATTTTAAATATAAATATTATTCATTTTGGATTACATTATTGGAGTAATTGTACAGACCGTTATTTGGGTCGTTATTGGACCATTATTCGGACCAATGCGCACGCGGTCCATCATATGGGCCATTACTTGGACCATTATTCGCACCGCATTTTTCCCCCATTGTCTGACCGTAATTTATCTCGAATTAAGTTTGAAATTTAATTAAATTTTTCCCATAAGTTTTCAAATATTCCGATTATCATACGGTTCGCGGATTTAGCCCCCGATATTACACCGACTTCATTTCCAACGTAGAGAGATCTCGGTCGGCATCGCGCTCTTGCGTCAAGCGTAAACGGCATTTCAGAGCGTATATCTCTCTTTCTCTCATTTTCTCTTTATATATATGTATATATATTTACTTCCATATTTCTTTCCAAGTTTGCCGAGTCGAATCGAGTGTTCTTCAACAGCGAGAGCTTTTCGCGATCGACGAATCTCGAAGTGGCATAAAACGCGCGAATTTTTTTCTTATTTTATATCGGCTGCGCCGAATTGTATGTCATTCTCACACGTTGTGTATTGTGTCCTCTCCTTTCCTTTTATTTATTTCTTACTTTTATAATTTTGATAATAATAATGGAGAGAGAGTTTAGTTATTTATATTTATAATTTTTCAAAATATGCATAAAAAACTTTCGAGTTTTCTTTCTTAAATCATCATATTATTAAAATTGTATGTTGAATATTTTATATACAATATGATATATACTCTTGTATACATCTTCTTCATCCTTGGCTTTCTTATCTCTTATCCCTCGTTTATTAATGGCGCTCAAGAATTTAGGACATTTGTGATTTCTCAAAGCACAAGTCTCTCGTTTATATAAATGTTATATAATTAATAGAGTAGTATATGTGTGTGTGTATTTTTGTAGAGTCGAGAGAAAATTTAGAGGATATTAGATACATTTTTACTTTCTTTGAACGCAGACATCTCAAGTTTTCCTAATATTTTCTTTTTTTAACGTGTGTAACGTAAGCTAGATGGCTCGTGTTTCTTTGGTATGTAATTTGATGATTTAGCTTTATCTAGCTCGTTGCCCTATTACACACGACAATTCTACCATACAGGGATCGGCAGTGGCACTCTCCGTCGCGTGTAACTGCAGGGTCTTGAAGGTTTACGCCAGGAAATCGCACAAGCAACCGGAAGTCCAGGTACGAATGTCTCTTTTTGAAGAAGTTTCGTTTATCTCAAACCACAATCCTTCGATTAAATTCCTTCCTTGCGTCGCTAATGGTGCTTGCTTGGTCTTTTATGTTTTCGCATTTGCAGATTGTTTTGAATCATCTCGTGAAAAATTTTTCTCGACGGATTGATATATTTAAGCTTCTTATCTATTTTATTTATCATTATCGTTTTTCCTTGTAATTGTTCTCAGATAATATTATTTCAGGGAAATCTTTAATTTCCTTTTTTATTATCTTAAAAGCTCTCGGAGAGATGCCGCAGACACTTCTTAATTAAACTACGCGTCGATTTAAAGTACTTTACGAGTCAAGGCAACTTTTTTTTTTTTTTTAGCGAATCTTTCAGGAGTTACTGGGCTTTAATGAATTAAGAGCG